TTTAGTGAGTAGGAGTCTCACAGTACCTGCGGGCTTCCCCCGGGGCCGGCGGGTCTCCATGAGGGATTTTCTCCAAGTCAAAAAAAAAAAAGGTTGTGTAGGGTTAGGGTTAGGGTTAGCGATGTGTTAGATATGCGTAGTGGAGACAAGTGAAACGTACACGGGTTCGTATCGCACTGGTTTAATATACGACAACAAGATGGTGGGCGCAGCCACACAGGTGTACCAACATACATAACATCCCTCCCCTTATTACAAAACCCATAAAATCAGTCCTATTCTTCCTTTCATTCTGAGCGCACGTATACAAGTTGTCATAGAAATTAATTACCTACCTTCATTATGGAAAAGTGTGATAAATGTAATAAATCAATAACAAAAAGAATCCCTGGTTTGGAGTGCAGTAGATGTGAAAAACTGGTTCATCTCAACACCTTGTGTTCAGGACTTTCCAACAAACAGTTAACGGCAATACGCGCATCAGAGAACCTAGAATGGACATGTCACGAATGCCAAAGGTCAATATCTAAACGCAGTTCTATCGTAGTTCCTGACGATGACACTGATGAAGATGGAAACCAATTACTTAACACAGAAACAAACCAAATAAATATGAAGAAACTCCTACAAAACATTTCAAAAGAAGTGGAAAAGGCTGTTAGAAGAGAAATCAATGAACTACGTGTCTCTCTTCAATACCACAGTGAAAAGATGGATGAAGTAATGGAAGTCGCAGAAGCATGCAAACAAGCAGTTCAGGACATCCAACGTAAAAATATAGATTTAATAAATAGAAACAAGCATCTTGAAACCAGAATTAATGCAATGGAGCAAAGAATAGAAGAAATTGAACAACACCAAGTAGCTAGACACATTGAAATCTCAAATATTCCTTATACCGAACAAGAAAATATAAAAAACATCGTGGACAAGGTAGCAATATTACTAAAGCAACCGACAAGTGATATCAAGGCCGCTCGCAGATTGTCACGGAAGAGGGATTCTCCTGGCGTCGTACAGGTAGAACTTAAAGAAGAAGAAATGCAAGAAAGCTGGGTATCTGCTTCTAAAAACTGTAAAATATATACCTCCAATTTAATGCCGACTACGTCTCCAGCGGCTGCTCAAAATCGGATATTCGTACGTCCATTTTTAACAGCATACAACAAAAAACTACTATGGAGTACTAAACAATCACTAAACGGAACCTACAAATATATATGGAGCAAAAAGGGAAAAATATTTATACGGAAAGATGACAACTCTAAACCTGTTATACATATTCGAGGAGAAGCAGACATCAAGAAACTTTGTAACGTACTATACTATATTAGATACTTATATAGATACCCTACAATATAGATATATATATATTAAAAACATCCAAAATGGATATTACAGAACTATTTAACTGCCATAGTATTGTTGGGGGCACTTACAGGTAAGTAATACTTCACTTTTTATCACGTAGGTTCATTAACGATCTACAATTTGCAATTGCGTATTATTATGGTCTGTAAGCAAGCGCGCGTGCATTCGCCGTGAATCTCGTTTTCGCTCTGGCGTGGCACGGTCGCAGCGATGCGCCGGCGTTGCACCAGCTAACCGGTCTTAGCCTGGCCGCGGCAACACAATAGATTGCGTTAACAAGCGTTTGCGCGCGGGTTTGCTTGTACAATTTATTTTATTACTATTTTATGTATAGTACATTAGTGTATGTATATATGTTTGATTTAGACGTATGTATACATGATATGTGTAGTTCTTTATTTATTTATTATTATCTATATATATATATATATTTGTATAATTGTTTTTGTGTATCTACTAGCATCTATGTACATATCAATTTGTTATACACTAACAATTAAGCAAAATAGTAATTAGAATCCCTACACTACCTCCTCGCCGAGACCGTAGCGTGCTATGGGCGATAGTAATCTGGGAAGCGAACAACTCGGCCGCTTCTTGTTCTCTTTGGTATATGCGGTACTTCTGTTATGGGTGGAGGAATGTCTCGTGAACCATTTACTGTATTTTCAGATGCCATAAAAGCTGGTTTCAGCCTATCTATGTATGGTAACTGTGGTATGTCTTCCCTGGATGTCTAGTTTAAAGTTTTTACTGCCTCGCTCCTGTACTCTGTATGGACCGGTATATGGCGGCTGCAAAGACTTCGTTGCTGGACCCTGGCGCAGAAATACATATTCTGCTGTTTGTAAATCTTTAGGTATGTAAAATGTTCTCTGACCATGTAAGCTTACAGGTTTGGGAGTGAGCTTACTGATGTGAAGCCGCAGCCTCGCAGTGAAGTCAGCGAAATCTGTGGTGAGACCTTGAGGCGGACTGAAAAATTCTCCAGGGAGCCGAAGTGGTTCACCGTAAACGAGCTCTGCTGAAGATGCTTTTAGGTCCTCTTTCCAGGCGCTGCGGATCCCCAGCAACACCAATGGTAATACCTCAGTCCAGTGCATGGTTGAATGGCACATTATGGCTGCCTTGAGTTGGCGATGCAACCTTTCAACCATTCCGTTGCAGGCCGGATGGTACGCTGTGGTAGGTCGATGCTCCGCACCAAGAAGACATGTGATACTCCGAAATAATTCGGAGTCGAATTGCCGTCCTCTATCCGTGACGATGCGCTGCGGGCAACCGTATCGTGAAACCCAGCCACCGATGAATACTCGCGCGCAGGTTTCCGCTGTGATGTCTGGAATAGGGTACGCCTCCGGCCAACGTGTGAAGCGATCGACCACGGTCAGGCAATATCTGAAACCAGAAGAAACAGGGAGTGGACCAACGATGTCCATATGTATTAGGGAGAAGCGGTGGGAAGGGGGATTGAACGATGAAGTAGGAGATATTGTATGACGGGATATTTTAGTTAATTGACATTCTTTACATTCTCTTGCCCATCTGCGGCAGTCTTGTCTTATTCCCGGCCACACAAATCTGTCTGAGACCAGTTCTACAGATGCTTTGCATCCTGGATGGCTCAAGCTGTGCAGTGCTTTAAATGCTTGTTGGCGAAAGATAGTTGTTAAGAATGGTCTAGGACTTGCAAATGAAATATCACAATATACTTCAACGTTTGATTCTGGTAAACAGACTCTTTTTAATTTAAGTGATGAAATGAAGTAATTCTTGTAGTTCAGAATCTTCAACCAGGGAGAGTGCAAGTTCATTGAAATTGATGCCTCGAGTGATACTTTCCACGCGTGAAAGGGCGTCTGCTACGACGTTATCCTTGCCTGGTACATATCTAATATCCGTACTGAACTGAGCTATAAAATCCAAGTAACGGAATTGTCTCGGAGAGCATTTATCTTGGCGTGTTGAGAAGGCGAATGATAATGGCTTATGGTCAGTATATATAATGAATGATCTGGCTTCGACCATGTGACGAAAATGACGAATAGCTTTATAAACTGCTAGTAACTCCCTGTCGTAGGGGCTATATTTCCTTTGGGCCGACTTAAGACTTTGGGAATAAAAAGCAAGTGGTTCCCAACCTTCTTTAGTGCGCTGTTGAATTACAGCTCCCACTGCCGTATCTGAGGCATCGGTATGGATAGCAAGTTCAGCTTCTGCTTTTGGATGTGCTAACATAGCTGCTTCAGCAAGAGCAGTTTTGCAGGAATTGAACGCATCGCTCATTTCAGTCGTCATATGGATGGCCTGTCTTCCTTTCTGCTTGGGACCTGTAAGTGCAGCATTCAAAGGTGCTTGTAAGGAAGATGCTTTTGGTATAAAACGACGGTAGAAATTGAACATCCCGAGGAAACGTCTCATATCTCTCACCGTTTTTGGGATGGGAAAGTCTTGTATTGCTTCTACCTTACTACGGAGCGGTCGAATACCATCTGTGGACACTTCATGGCCAAGGAAAGTTATTTTGTTTTGACCAAACTCACACTTGGCTGAGTTGATTAGTATGCCATATTCTGAGAGACGTTGAAACAATTTACGTAGATGCTCGTGATGCTTTTCTTCACTACTGGAGAAGATCAAAATGTCATCTAAATATCCATAGCAGAATGAGAGTCCTCTCAGCACCTCATCGATGAACCGCTGGAAAGTTTGAGCTGCATTTCTCAAACCAAAGTTCATAAATGGAAATTCAAATAGTCCCATGGGTGTAGTGATGGCGGTTTTGGAAATATCTTCGCTATTGACCGGGATCTGATTATAGGCTTTAATGAGATCTACCTTCGAAAACATTTTACTTCCTTCCAGCTGATGAGCAAAATCCTGAATATGCCAGATTGGGTATTTGTCAGGAATTGTGCGTGCGTTGAGCGCTCGATAGTCACCACAGGGTCTTCATCCATTTTCCTTTTTAGGTACTAGATGTAGCGGAGATGCCCATGGACTATCTGATCTACGCGCGGTCCCATTCGACATCATCTGTTCGAATTCGGCTTGAGCAATTTTTAATCTATCAGGTGGTAGACGGCGTGGTTGGCTACATACAGGCGGTCCCGGTGTCGTACGGATATGGTGGACAGTATTATGCTTTATTACTTTTACTGCTCCGGCTGGACGTGTAATAGCAGGGTACTCACGTAATATTTGATGATAGACAGAGTTTCCGGCTACCGCTTTTACAGATGAAATGTTATCACTTGACTTCTTAGTAGGTACTGCAATTGTAAGTGATGTCAAGCTATCAACTAATCTGTGATTTCTGCAATCCACGAGCAAACTGTAAAAAGAAAGAAAATCGACGCCAATAATAGGTTTCGACACATCAGCTACCACAAATCTCCAGCTGTAACTGCGGCGTAATCCCAAATTGAGGTTCAAATGTACCCAGCCGTATGTATGTATAATAGTACCATTTGCAGCAAATAATTTATAATCTGTCTTATGGCGACGTTCATTTAACGCTGTTCTTGGGTACACACACAAATCCGATCCGGTATCAACAAGATATTCTTTTTTTGTGTTTTTGTCCGTGATAAACAAGCGACCTGATGCTGTATGGCAGTCGTTGGCCGCTACTTCCGGCTGCCGTTGGCGTTTACCGAAGATGAAACAAAACCGCAGGGCGTAGTGCAACGTGTTGCCCTATCACCAAAACGATTGTGGTACCAGCAGAATGAAGTATTGAATCGCCTAGGTTGTGATCGTGATCTGGACCGACGTCTGAAATTATTTTTATTTTCACGATGACGCGTTTGAGGTTGTATTTGCGAGCACGACTGTATTTTTAGTGAAGCAACTTCGCGGGTGAGTTCCGTAATTTGATTTTTTAATTCGGATATCCCGAAATTATTGCTTATGGCTGATATATGTGTAGATGGTGGTACTAACTCATATACTGAATCCGCCAACTCCGCCAAATCCTCTAATGTGCCCATTTTTTGGGATGCTAAAATGGCGCGGACATTAGCGGGCAACCGGTCGGACCATAAAGTACGTAAAAAATCATCGGTTACAGACATACCTGCCAGAGTCTGCAGATGCCTCAAAAATTGAGAGTTTTCGGTCTCCGAGCTCTTCATGATGCAACAACTGTAGTACTTTTTTTCTTGAGAAGCCGACAACCGTTTAATCAATTCTGTTTTTAATTTTAAATATCTGTTTTCTGCAGGCGGGTTATTAATTATATCTTTAACTTCCCTGGCATATTGCTGTTCTAGGGACGATGATATATAGCTATACTTCGTTGCATCCTGTGTGATTCCTGCTAATGCAAACTGGTTTTCCAGCTGAGAAAACCAGAGTGCAGGTTCCTCCGGCCAAAATGGTGGCACTCTTATACTTATTCGAGCTACCTCTTGAACTGCTGCGTTTTCCATAATTTTAGGCTCCAGCGTATTCTTTTCGGGGTCACCAATATGTTGGGGGCACTTACAGGTAAGTAATACTTCACTTTTTATCACGTAGGTTCATTAACGATCTACAATTTGCAATTGCGTATTATTATGGTCTGTAAGCAAGCGCGCGTGCATTCGCCGTGAATCTCGTTTTCGCTCTGGCGTGGCACGGTCACAGCGATGCGCCGGCGTTGCACCAGCTAACCGGTCTTAGCCTGGCCGCGGCAACACAATAGATTGCGTTAACAAGCGTTTGCGCGCGGGTTTGCTTGTACAATTTATTTTATTACTATTTTATGTATAGTACATTAGTGTATGTATATATGTTTGATTTAGACGTATGTATACATGATATGTGTAGTTCTTTATTTATTTATTATTATCTATATATATATATATATATATATATTTGTATAATTGTTTTTGTGTATCTACTAGCATCTATGTACATATCAATTTGTTATACACTAACAATTAAGCAAAATAGTAATTAGAGTCCCTACAGTATTGATCACTTCTTGAATTGCATTCCGACTAATATTAACAATGTTATATGTATACATATAAATATACGATCTATAATAAAAAAATTTGCAATGTTAGAACAGTACATACTTAATAGTAAAACCTCTATAGACGTAGTAGTGCTAACAGAGGCAAATATATCAAATTCTGTTTGTTCTCTTTATGGTTTAGATGGCTATAATATGCACACAGAAACACACGTAAGGGAGGAGGTATAATAATCTATACTCATAAAAAACATACTTTTACAAGGGTTAAAATAAAAACATTCCAGTGCGAATCTATAATAGGTTATATAAAAACACCATCAAACTACGTCGCAGGTCTGTGCTCAATATACCGTCCACCTAATTATAGTAAACATTTGTTCATACACGAACTTCATAAACTCATAACATCACTAAATAACACTAACGATATGTATATATTAGGGGACATTAATATAGACACCGCACTCAATAACCCTATAAAACATAAATACATTAACATGATGTCAAGCTGCGGCCTTGAGCCCGGGATTTCAGATCATACACGAATCGAAACTTGTAATGACAAAACAAGCAGATCTTGCATGGATCACATCTTTGTAAAATCCCGAACTCAAGATATTTACTCCGCTGCTCTCAGTGTCGTACTGGCGGATCACCGCGCCGTAATAATGGCGAGCATCGGCCAACCACGTATACAGAGTGTTCCAAAATATAAAGTTTTATACGATAATGAAAAACTTAAAAATATGCTTTGTGAACTAAATTGGGACACGATCGCTCAGAACCCATGTCCAATTACAATATATAATATCATTAATATTCATGAATGTTATAAAAATTCGAAAATATATAAAAAAATAAATATAAATTCTAATAGAAAAAATAATACATGGATAAATAAAAAAATTGTAAATGCCTGTAACTATAAAGATACATTATATACGTTATGGAAAAAGGATAGTAATAATATGATATTAAAGCTAAAATATAATAAAGCTAGAAATTATGCTCATAAATTAGCACAAAAAGCTAAAAATAGTGAAATTATTAAATCTATCGACACTAACAAGAATAACTCTAAAAATTTATGGGATATATTAAACAGAATAACCGGTAGAATTAGAAAATCAGTTGATGAAATTATACTACAAGCATTTGAGAAAAATTTCATGAAAACTAGTGATATTGCGAATAACTTTGCAAACACCTTTAACAATAGTGTAAAGTATATCATACCATCTTGTACAACAAAGCTTCTTGATCCCAAAATATATAAAAACCCCATCAACTTATCTATGCGCCTTAAAAAAGCAACAGCATGTGATGTTAATAAGATTATTAAATCAATTAATCCTAATAAAGCACCTGGCGTTGATTCCATAAGATTTAGTGACATATTGTTACTTAATGATAAGATATCTCCGGCGATATCACAACTAATTAACAATAGCATCTGGATATTATCCTGATGAACTCAAAAAGGGTTAGTCCGTCCTATCCACAAAAAAGGTCTAAAGGACAACTATGATAATTGCGCAATATAGTGAAGTCAGCAGCCCTTTCGGTATTACCCCTTGGGCCTACTCATACTAATAAAAATTCTCCAGACACTTGGCTCGATCACGTTTTTATTTCATCACCAGAATCTGTACTGAAACATGGTCAGTTTTCTGCACCAGAATTCTCAAGACATGACCTTATATTTGTTTCGTACAACATTAAAACTTTTAAGCCAAAACCAGCCGTAGTTCGCCTTCGCAATTTCTCCAGAATTGATATAACGAAATTAGACCAGGATATGACTAACGTGGATTGGTCATGTGTACTTTCTGCTTCTTGTATAAATGACATGGTGTCCGTGTTTAATCTCTCTGTGCTCCATATCATGAATAAGCATGCACCAGCCCACCTTGTCAGGGTTAAAAGACGACCAGCTCCCTGGATAACAGAAGCAGTACGCATGTCCATGAGAAAACGTGATCGGGCTTTTAGGGTTTTCAAAAGGGATCGTTGCGAGGAGAACTGGAAGAATTTTAAATTAGCACGTAACCGTTGCAACTATATGGTAAGAGCTGCTAAACGCTGTTACATCCACTCTAATATTCAAAATTCTTCATCGGTCAATATCTGGAAGTTTCTCAAATCACTTGGGCTGTGCAATCAGCCAAATGATTTTTCCTCACAGTTTTCATTAAATGACCTGAACAGGCACTTTTCCACCGTTCCCACTTTGAGCGATTCTCAGAAATCCATTACTTTAGCTGAGATAACTTCATGGCCTAGACTTTCTGTAGATTTTTTATTTTCACCAGTTACTGACGATGAAGTCTACAAGATAATATCTTCCATAAAGTCCAATTGTATTGGTTCAGATGATGTGAGTTCAGAGGATTATGGTTACTCTCTCACTTAAACACTTGCTTCCTATCATTACTCACATCATTAACTTTTCTTTAACTTCTTCCGAATTTCCTGCAGCATGGCTAAATGCTTTCGTTCTACCACTACCTAAAGTATCATCCCCACAACTTCTTAAGGACTTTAGACCTATATCAATCCTGCCTTTCCTCTCTAAAATACTAGAAGCTGTGGTCCACAGACAGTTATCTGATTTTGTTTTTAAAAACAATTTAGTAAGCCCCTACCAGTCTGGTTTTCGCCCTGGACACAGCACCACTACTGCTCTTCTGAAAATTACTGAGGATGTGAGGGAAGGCATGGAACAATCTAAATTAACAGTTCTAATTTTAGTCGATTTCTCTAATGCATTTAATACCGTTGACCATGATGTCTTACTCGCTATTCTTTCACATCTTGGGATTTCATCGTCAGTTGTTAAATGGTTTAGCTCCTATCTTCGTGGACGTCAGCAGGCAGTTCGTGCCAATCAGGCATTATCGGATTGGTGCGATCTTGTTACTGGTGTTCCTCAAGGCGGTATTTTGTCTCCATTACTTTTCTCTATCTTTATAGATTTTATTACTAAAGTTCTTAAATGCTCTTACCATTTGTACGCGGATGATCTCCAGATCTACTCCCAGGCTGTTGCGTCTGAGCTCAGTGATACCATCGGCCAATTGAATATTGATCTTGATCATATACTCAATTGGTCCAAAAAGTTTGGTGTTGCTGTTAATCCCTCCAAATGTCAGGCAATAGTCTTCGGAAGCAGTAAACAACTAAATAAAATTAATTTCAACACTTTACCTCCTGTTCTATTTAATAAACAACCAATTGCGTATAGTTCTCAAGTAAAAAATCTCGGTTTAATTATAGACAGTACTCTAAGTTGGAACAACTATGTTAGTGACGTTAGTCGTAAAGTCACAATTACACTGCGTAACTTATATAGATTGAAAAACTTTCTCCTTATAAGTACTAAAACTCTCCATGTCCAGTCTTTAGTTCTCCCCACTCTTGATTATGCTGATGTGTGCTGTTCTGACATGAACGTAGACCTTTTAAACAAATTGGATCGGCTTCTCAACAATTCTATCCGCTTCATTTTTAATTTGCGCAAATTCGATCATATCTCTTCTTTTCGTTCACAGCTTAAATGGCTACCTATCCGTTATCGTAGAAATGTACGTATACTATGTACTCTCTATTCTTTTTTATATGATTCTAATTCTCTTGATTACATTAGCAACCAATTTCATTTCCATGGGGACAACACCATTCGCTCTATTCGCACGACCAGAAAATGTTTACTTCTTATACCGGCTCATTTATCCGGTTTCGTCCACTATTCTTTCGCCGTTCAGGCTATCAAACTTTGGAACGACTTACCCCTTGATATCAAGACCGCCACGAGTAAGTTTTCTTTAAAGCGTAAATTGCGGGAATACTATTCCAGCATGTAACTTTTCTATTATGTAGAATAGTTTTCCATTTTATCTTTTTGCGTGACTCATTGTTATTTGTACATCTTTTCTATGTTATAGTTGCTGAATTTGTTTTTTTTTTTATTTTGAATTTGTTATGTTCTATCTGTAGTTGCTATTTCATTGTCAGACTCTTAAGAATGTTATATGATATGTATATGGTATATTTAGGTATGTATTTTATTCATATTTATCTATAGCTTTATATATATTATATATTATATGTATTTGTATATGTATGTTTACATGTACTTACGTTTAGTAAATATATATTATTTATGACATAGGTATAATTTACTTATTGATTAAATTTGCACCGCCTACAGTTTCTCTGCACAACCTGTGGTTGACTGGTAGAAAATGCCGTAAGGCGTTAAGTCCGCCATATGTACCTTGGTACCATGGTACATTTACCTTGGTATTTTGTGCATTGAAGTTATATAAATAAATAAATAAATAATTACCGACGTATTACTATTTTAACAGCAATAGATAAAATTATTGAAAAGTATATCAGTCAACGCATATACGATTTTTATAGTTCGAATAACTTATTAACAGAGAAACAGTTCGGGTTCCAACC